AGTAAAGTTGGCTCTGGTGGCAAAGGGCAGAAAGGCCAAGGAGATGAGTCTGAAGAATAGTGGACACACACCTGCCACAAAATGCGGTGCCAGGTACATTACTTGGGAGAAGTCTCACCAAGACTGGAGATTCCCACGTGAAAAAAAGTTGAAGATCTCCAACTGCCCTTGAAGTCTTTGAGTCTTCCTGCTTAGCAAGAGCCTCTTGGGGCCTTCAGAGAAGTATTTTAGGAATGTTCTATTATGATGAATTTACTTTTCCCATAAGCCATTAGGGAGCTCCCTTCCTGTCTAGAGATTGAGAGTTTTAAGATGGAAAAAAGTTGCACCACAATCCTTCTTTCTCTTCAGTCAGAAGGAAGAAGAGGCTTCTGGTTGAATTGTGTCAAAACTTCCCAAACCCTGGATGGACTGGAGAATTCCAGTGGGTGAGGCTCCAAAGAGATTTTATGATTCTAGAGATCTTAGGAAAGAGCTCTAGATATTTTGTTAAGATTTTGATGACAGAGTCTCTGGGCTATCACCCTGTATGGAGAGACTTTGGTCGCCTGGTGACTAATCAGCTATGCCTGGTTGATTGTATCCCAGTCTAGGACATCATAAAGAGCTAAAAGTATGATTTTGACACCTGTTCTTCTAATGGCAAACTTTATAAAATTTATCCCTAGATATTCTTGAACCCAGAGAGTCTAGTTAGGGCCATGTCAACATGTATTGTGCAAGGTTGTGTAGCATCTGGTTCAGGTCCTTGGAAATAGTTACCCAAACCAGATGCTTACACAACTGTGCACAGTAGGTATTGTATATAAAGGTCACTTCATAGTGTGCTTAATACACTATTCATACCTAAAATGAAGCAATCTTTGTAAAAAAATATTATATAAATATTTCCATAAGAGCTTGGTGACATATATAGGCCAAGCATTTCAGAATAACAGCAAAACAGAGTTGGAAGGGACCTGGCAGGTCTTTTCGTCCAACCCCTTAATCACAACTTTCACACTCCAATTTAATCTAGTTTGGTATCTTGTGAAGACAGAGCCAGAGAGTAATCTGGAGCCAAAATATACCTTATTACTAATACCAGTCAAACGTTCTATAGAAATTGAGCCCAGAGTGATGGCGCAGGGGCAGCAATCAGTTGCTTGGCTCTGGTTACAGAATTTCTGCTTGAAGACTTTGCGGAATGCAGGGAGGAAAAAAAGAATGAACAAGCAAGCATCTCATTTAAACAGAAGCAAAGAAAAAAACCCCTCAAAAATACACAGGAGACCAAAAGCAGGTCTCCAGTCATCCCACAGACCTCTCAGAGGCACAGGGGAGCAGGCAGGAGCTACTCTGGGGTCTGTTCCACATAGAGGCACCAGGGAGGCGGTACCTGCTCCAAGGCACACAGCAAACGGCACAGTGCAATTTCCGCTGGGCTTGCAATCTCCTAGCCATAGGAGGAAGAGGAGCTGCTTCACAGGCCAGGCCTGTGATCAGTGGTTGACAGCTGCAGACGCCCACTGCTGCCTTGCTCAAGGAGCCCTTTTGCAGTTCAGCTGTGAATCAGGGACCGTGTACAATTTGTTCCTTCATATCTGAGATAATATTTGGGGTGTCTATTTCTTCCAGGCCCCCCTTTTCTGCTCAACTTCATAACTGAAACTTTTAGAAGATCCACCACAGTTTAGTTTCATTATCTCTTCACCACTTTCCCAGGAACAGCTGCAGGACTTGATTCTCCGTGTTTATATAAAGAGCAAGCACTGCATCCCAGCTAACGCAATGCTCCAACTTTGAAACACACCAAACTCAGCAGAGCCTGTAAGCTCCCATTGGCAGGAAGAGCCAGCCTAAAAGCACGCGGGAAGAATGGGCTAGTGGAGTTGAGGGGCTAGGAGGACGGGGAGAGGACGATCTGGGTTATATGCGGTATGGTAGTCCTCCTGGGAGAGCATTCAAGGCCCGTGTGGACCCAACCCCTGGAACATTTGGGGGGCATAAGGGTGGGAAGCCTCTGAGCCTCTTGTGACTCGGAGGAGGGGAGGGGAGGGCTTCCCTTGTAGGCAGGGTTTGAATGTGGCAGTGACTGAGTGAAAAGTGAGTCTGTATGGCAACCTGAGTGTGTCAGAAGGTAACAGCTTGCGAAGGGAACGGTTCTAAACTGGAGAGAAAACTGTGGCCTCAGAGCAAAGAATGACCCCCATTTCTGCCTGATATTCTGGATCTTGGGCAAATTCTCTGGTTTCCCAGCATCATCAGTTGTCTTTCTAGGCATTTTGAGCATGCTGGTGCTTTTTTTTCCTGTCTTTGTTTTGAATGAACATTTCACATTCTCAACATTTTCAAAATTCCATATACATCCATTCTCATATCTCTGGCACCACAACTTCACACAACCTGCTTGCAGGCTAATACACCTACAAAGAATCATAAAAAGCAATAGCACTAGCACTTAGATTTATATACCAATGCTCCAACACGGAAAGCTTTTAAGAAGAGATTGGATAACCATTTGTCTGAAATGGTATAGAGTTTCCTGCCTGAGCAGGGGTTTGGACTAGATGACCTCCAAGGTCCCTTCCAACTCTGTTATTATGTTACCACTTCATAATGCTTTACAGCATTATCTGAAGGGCTTTCAAAATATTTTAGAATACATGCATGTTTAGGGGTTTTTTTGAAAAATAATTTATTTGTATTACATAAATATTCCTCTAATATATAATATAGAAACCTGTAAAATGATGCCTTTTATATTAAGATGATGAAAGAATGTTAGGATTGATACTTTATTAAATATATATTTCATCCAAAACCTGTCCTTGCATCTCTCCCCGCTAAAATATAGCATCCTGCAATTTCAAAATTTCTTACAAATGCAGCATTCCTATTTGTAGTTTATTTTATTAAAAAGTAGTCTCAAATGCCAGTAACTTTTCAATTCCAATCTGTGAGTCAGTCAAAGTTCCTACTCATACCATAGTTTTAGATACTTATGTAACATTTTAAAATTTGGTATTTAAGGATTGGAAGTGACAGTTGAAAGACTTTGTGAGCTACATAGATTTATACTGCATATTCCTGTCAGTATATTCATTTACAAAACAATTAAAGAATTTACACATATTATGCCCTGCCCCAATGTAAACACTAGCAATTATATTGTGTACAACTCCAGTATTAATTGTGTCAGTTGGCCTCTTTGGCTGCAGCACATGATGAACAATATGTAGACATGACAGATTGTTAAGAACATCACTAAACGTTGCCCTTCTTTCTGTATCAGTCACCTCCAAACCAATCAACCACATTCTATAATTTTGTAAAATTGTACTGTATGATTGTTTTACTTCACACTGCCCTGCGTCATCAGAGTTAAGCGGTCTTACAAATTTCAGTAATGGTGATGATGATAACAGCATTCCGCATAGTACATCTTGTGTTTATGGACTTTGCCTCGGTCTGCCCTGACCAGCTGCAGATGCTTCACTCTGGAATAGCATCGGATCATTTACTGACACTTTCCAACCCCGTTTTCTCGGTTGGTCACAACAGAGAAAAAAAAGAGAGCATAATCTTAACTATTATTTTTTTGAATCTCAATATTAAGGGGGAAAAAACTTATTACAAAGTCAGTCACCAGAGCAGAGAATTTACTATTTGTAAACAAGCATTTGTGTTAGTGGAGAAAAGACAGGCTGCTATATAACCAGCAAAAGGTAAATAAATAAAAGCCTCTGTAGGTCTCACCACAGTAACTGAAACATATTGCAAAAACAGGATTAGTTTACGCCACATCGCAAATTTCTTAATGAAACATTAGAAAAAAATAAGAAAAAAGTACAACTGGTGTAACAAGCATGTAAAAAATTACACCATATTACATGGCATGTATCATGTTATCGAAGGGGGTGGGACTAACTACATCAAATAACTTATTTTGTTCCAGGTTGACTACTTTTACAGATAGAATATTGTCTCAATAAAATAACCTATAAACATAACTCTCATCCAGAGCCTACAGAACAATATTCTTCTGCCATGAAACTGCAAATGAGCCGTGGTGGCGCAGTGGTTAGAATGCAGGATTGCAGGCTAACTCACTGCTCACTGCCAGCAGTTCAATCCTGACGAGGCTCAAGGCTGACTCAGCCTTCCTTCCATCCTTCTGAGGTCGGCAAAATGAGGACCCGGATTGTTCTGGGAAATATGCTGACTCTGTAAACCGCTCAGAGAGGGCTATACAAGTTTAAGTGCTGCTGCCATTTAAATGCTGGATTCAAGTCAGAAGACCAACACCTGCTTCCCGTTCTAAAACCAGCTGTCCTAATGTTGAAGAGTGGAGATATTTTCCAGCAACCAAACTGGCTGAAGCTGCAGTTGTCAAAAGAAAGCAGGATCCTTATCTCTGGTTTTGACCAAGAGATTTCCTTTTCAACAAACTTACTTACACAGACATAATGATGGAATTAAGTCCTACTCAAATGAAAACTATTAAACGTAGATGCTGCCCATCTCACCTCTAAATTACCATGTAAAGTTTTATTTCCAGGCCAAACCTGGACCAATGTATATCGGTCAAGAGAAGGATAAAGCTGACGTTTGTGCCCAATTAGAATGATATATGAAATAAAATTTCACAAGGAAAATTAATTTTAATGGATCTGTAGGGCCCCTTTTCTTAAATTCCTCTGGAAAAAAAACAGCAAGTATTTTAAAAAGAACTTTTCTTACACACAGATTATTTAAATTCAGTTTGTTATAAGCAGAAATAACTTAAAGAGGTTCTTTTAAGTCTCCCTGCAGATACCTTTACATTTGCATAGAAATAATATTCCATATCAACTTGCCCCCTTTTTTTTACATTTGATGGCAAATAGAGCAAGGAGAACAAAGCAATTTATCCCAGACTTCATTTAATTGAGAGAAACAAAAGCCCAATAGCTGGAATTTTAGGAGAAAATAAAAAGGGGCCTATGAAACTCATAATAAAGAAAAAACAGCAGATATTTTCAGTAAGAAACACAAAGAAGTAATTTATATATAGAGAGAACAGTTTTACTCTTCAAAACCCCAACAAGTATGCAACAAAATAAAATTAATTTAATAGGTAATAATACAAAATAAGGTATTAATTACACCATGAGAATTAAATCACATATAAGCTGTCAACTACCGCCTACATCTGGCTAGACAGGAAGAATTTCGTTTCAAGAGCAGCTTCTTCCAGAACCTTCACAATGGATGTGAACGTGCAGAACCCAAAAAGCCCAGCTTGTGCCCTACCTTACTAAATAAATAGCTTCCCCATTTTATAATTAAAAAGCCAGAACTCGCAGAGAAACCCGTGGCCCTTTTCACAAGTCATTCTATAACAAAGGCCATCCCTACGGGACACGGGGTGGGATGCCAGATCTGATGCAGCTGAAATCCTTTCGGATGACCAGGCTCCACTCGGAGGTCAGAAGTTGAACTCTGTGTTTCATGTTTCCAGAATCAAAACCTCCCGTGCCACAACCACTCTGCCTCTCTGCCCTTAACTGCTGACTAGTCTGGTGCAGCTTCTTTTTCCCTCCTGCATTAAAGAGAGATCCAAGGTCTCTTGTGGCTGATCTGGGCCAAATGGCTCTTTTCTTGTCTTCTTCCACAAGGCCCTTTGAACCAATGCGCAGGGAGTGAAGAGACTGCACTGATTTGAACAACTAAAAACGGATGAAAAAACTGAAAAAGACAATCTTTCTGCGCCTGTTCCCTTTTAGTTTTTGGACAATAAGTGAAATTGGATAGCATTTCCCATCCCAAGAAAGCAAATATTTTGAAACTGTAACATAGTATTCTCCTAAAGAACTGTGGCCTTCTGATAAATCAGTTAACTCTAGATAGTCAGTCTTCTCTTTTGTCAACAATCTCGATGGCCAAGATAGGATTACATCTAGCCATTCTCCTGACTGGAGGCTGACACAGAATCAGTAGAAAACAGAACCCAGCAAGGAGATATCAGTAGTGCTCTTCAAAGAAATAGGAGTAAGAGCAGTTTGTGGTTTCCGACATGGAACCTGCCAGCCTTTTCACAGCATTCATTATAAATATCGGCAGAAACAGAGCAAGAGGCAGGCAGGTCAACCACAGAGAGAGGTTTTCATTGAAAAGCAACAAAAACACCTTCATTCGGTTTTGTCGTCTTTGCTGAGAGCACCTTCATTCACTATGGCGTAAAGGTGAGGATCATCCAACTGATGACGAAGTAGAAAAGGAAAATGGGGTAGACAACGAGAGCTTTGCGGTTTGGGGGTTGGCTGTCTGCCAGGAAAGCGGTAGAGGCTGGGAAAAGAAACAACAAAGACCTCATGTTGGGAAAACAGGCACCAGGAATACAACACGTCAAATAAAATCAGCCTCACATCCATACCCACCAAAACCAGGGCTCCTTGCCAGCCCTCGCCTCTTCCCTCCCCAAGGGAGAGTACAAACTGCCATGCTTGCTTTTTGTGGAGTGGATCTGTCCCAGGAGAGACCTGCCCGGCCCTTTGACGGAGCTGGCTCAGATTGGCCGGGGGGCGGGCAGGGGGAAAACAGAAAGGCACCCCCTCCACAGCCATGGGAGCATGAGGAAAGGCTGGGCCTACCTGAAGTGCAGACTCACCATGAGGATTCCTGACTTCTCAAAATCTAAGCCTGTCTACCTCATGGAATTAGCAAGAGCCAATTTGGGAAACAATAATCATTTATTTTGTATTTATTTGCATCCTGTCTTTATTATTTTTATAAATAAATCAAGGCAGCGAACATACCTAAAACATCTTCCTCCTCCTCTTTTCCCCACATCAACCCTGTGAGGTGGGCTGGGCTGAGAGAGAGGGACTGGCCCCAGGTCACCTGGATTCACAATCTCCTGCTTCTAGCGGGCGCCTTAACCACTAGACCAACTGGGATAATCATTGCAAAAACCAAATATCAAGGCTGTAAATTAAGCTGGATAGCCGTTCAGCATTTTAATGGAATATTAATGCTTGTGTAATTTTAATTAATTTTGAAAACCCGTGTGATGTACTGATTAAAGGTGGATTAGTACTGAGTAGATCCAGAGTGAAGTCCCCCCTCAGCCTCAGAAAGCCGAAGGGAGACCTAGGCCAGCCCCTCTCTTGGCCCAGCCTGCCTCACAGAGTGGCTATAGGAACGAAAGGAGGTTCCTGTAGAAGCCACCCTGAACTCCTGCAGAAATGGCAGGATTATATAGACAGTAAATACCTTTGTTTCCTTCAAAAAGTTAACAACTAAGGAAAGGTTCCCAAAGCAAAAACAACAAAATGTTTTTAGAATAAGATATGTAAAACAATATGGATTATTCTTATACCAGTGAGGTACCAGTCCATTCAAATAAAAATCTCAACTTCTACTTAAAAAAAACCAGGTTCACTTATTCTAATTGCAGTTGGGAAAAATCCTGAACTCGGCTCCTTTTCCCCTTGCAATCCTGCTTGAAAACTGGGAGCAAAGAGGAAAAACAGGTCTGCCAGTGAAGCAGGCAAAGTGGGAATGCCGAAGGAGAAGGGCTCTGGGCCTCCTCCAGCCCAGCTCGGCCATCCAGGCAGACCTCAACCGAAAAAGCTGTTCATCCCTGATCTGTAGCACCCCCCCTCTTTTAGACTGAAAAGGGGAATTGTGCTTCTAAAATTAAACAAGTCAAATGGGATGGAAATATGTATACAAAATCATAATCCGGATAACCTAATTGAT